TGTATCTTCTGATATTAATACTAGTTATACATCTCTAACCAGCAGTACAACTTTGTCAACTGATATTAATGAAAATTCGGAATTATATAATCTTTTATTAAAGAAGAGTTATAACATAAAATTGCCATCTTGTTGGTTAAATGATCTTACAACAAATAAAAAACTTAAAACTAAATTTATATCATTTTTTAAAATGGGATGTTATGGTAACAGGTGTCAACGAATTGTTGAAAAGCAACTAGTAGTTACTGAAAGTATGTATTATGAATAGGTACATAATAATTTGAACTAAGAGAATTAACACATATTTTATAATATTTTTTAAGAGTCTGAACTTATTATATATGTACTGGACGTACAGCTCTCTGTTGAAGAAATAGAAATGTTTTATCCTACTTCATCTGTTACTTTAACAAAGCCCACCATTTTAGATATTGAGAAAATAATAAGTACCCTTGATAAAGCATATGTATGTTATGGTGCAGCATTGGTTTCTGACTTTCCAAATGTAAAACCATCTTTTGGATTTCAATATACCATGAGCAATGGTTATTGGAAACATTCAAACTGTAAAAAAATATCAATTGAAAATAGGTAAGAATAAGTAAACTGCAAATTTTAATAAACTATTATAGTTGAAATCTGAAAATGTTGAACCTTTTGTATAGTGGTATGTGTTCATGGTGTCAACGCCTATGTTTTTCATTGAAAAGAAAAAACAAGAGGTTAATGGATGGAGACAAAATAAACATATTTTTCTCACCATCTAAGTTAAAACCCCTAAATAAACTAAGACACACCAAGAGGGTAGTGAGACAAAAGGCTGCAAGAGCCAATACTAGAATCATGAAGCTTCAAAATAGTTTAAGGGAAGTACAAAACCAAATGAAAATGTTTTCTGAAGAATCATTAACAGATATAGTTGAAAAATCTGGTATTTCACAAATCCAATTAGATTTATTACATGAAATATTTGCAGCTGCAAAACTGAAAAACAATAAAAGTCGACGTTACTCAGAAAATTGGATGCTCTTATGCTTATTATTTCAAATCCGGTAATTTTTAATTGTTATTTTTAATTTTATCAGATAAAAATTAATTCATCTATTTAATTTTCTACAGATCTCCTTCAGGATATAAATTTTTGAAAGAATAAGGAGTTTTGCCATTACCGTGTGTTGAAACAATTAGAAGACATTTGCTAGCAGTAAAAAATGGATGTGGTTTTGATCTATCATTTTTTAAGCTCCTGAAAAAAAAATGTTTAAGTTATACACCAAGCCAAAAAAAGGAATTTTGCTTCTTGATGAAATTTTTTTGAGAAAAAATATTCATGTCAACAGCAGAAGTCTTACTTACAGTGGATTAGAGGACTTTGGAGGAGAGATAAAAAATAAAGTTGGGAGTTCTGAAGAAGCTGACCATGGATTAGTGTTCATGTGGCAAGGGTTAGCAACCAACGTTACTCAGCCTATAGCTGTATTTGCATCTAAAGGGCCAGTTAAAGGTTTTACTATTGTTAACTATTCTATATATTTTTCACATTTTTTTTTTTAAATATAATATAATGTTTATTGAAATTATAGGTGTTGATTTATCTCAATTACTTATAAAGGCTATTCTTATGCTGGAAGATGCTGGGCTACAGGTTTTAGGTGTAACATGTGATGGTGCTTCAACTAATAAGACCATGTTCAAAACTCTAGGAATAAATGGAAGCAAATCAGAGTTAAAAAACTATTTTGTTAATCCTTACGACGAGCTTAGAAAAATATTTGTTTTCAGTGATGCTCCACATGTAATAAAGAATATAAGGAATCGTTTAGTTCAAAAAAAACAGTTGAAGGTATTTAGCTTACATTTTAGTTATAACTTTTTAATTATAATTATAATTATAATAATTATCTAATTTAATTTAACACATGTTTAAGAATATTTCATGACATTTTTAGCTTCATCCATTGAAGGATTATGTCAAATGGGAACATTACTGTTCTGTTTTTAATAACGATTCAATAACCATGTTGAAAATATGCCCAAAAATAACCAAAGCCCATATTGAATTAAACAATCTATCAAAAATGAAGGTGAAATATGCCACACAGGTAATAGTTTGTTAGGGATTAATGTAGTTATATGAATAATAATAATTTAAAAATATTAATTGTATAACATTGGTAAAAGTTTAATGTGTCATCTACTAAAGAATATTATTTATGTGCCTATTGAAATAAATTTAAAATACTCATGTTTAAATAGATATTTAGCAATTCAATGGCCATTGGTATCCGATTTTACCGTGACCGGAAATTAAAAGGACTTGAAGATTCTTTAGAAACTGAAGAATTCACATTATTCTTGAATAATATGTTTGATGTTTTAAATAGGAAATTCCCTGCTGAAGGCATTAAGAAACACAGCAAAGACTTAGAGGTTATTTATGTGTTTCTGTGTTTCTGTTGTGTGTGTATTGGCCACAAATTAAGATATCTTAATTTGTGGTATTGGCTGATGGAATTTGTTCTTTATATGTGTCTGTGTTTTTATATTTAACTATTTATCTATAATTTGTAGCACTTAATATCTTAATAAATGTAATAGGTTAAGTTATTTAGAGAAATTGGTTGATTATTTGTTTATTTTATAGTAATAAATGTTTAATATTAGTGTGCATAATTTATATAAACTTGATTAGCTAATTACATTTTTTATTCTAAAAAAGGTATTAAACCAAAGCCTTATTTGGTTAGATAATTGGGAACAACATTTCATAGATGGTAAAATACTGGAAAAAGAATTTCTAACTAGAAATACAGCAGATTCTTTGAGATTGACCTTAAAATCTACCATCTATTTAGTTACATATTTACTTGACGAATGCAATTTTCAGTATGTTTTAACTTCCAAGTTCAATCAAGATGCAATTGAAGTAAGCAATTCATTTCCAGTTAATTATTGTGTATTAAAAGTCTTAGTAATATTTATTACAGAAATTTTTTGGTATTGTGAGACAAACAGCAGGACCTAATGACCACCCTGCTACTCCAACATTTCTACAGCTATACAGACTATTATCTGTATACTCGTTAGTCAAACCACCTAAATCAGGAAATTGTACATTATCAGAAGGTACAATTAAAATTTAACTAACTATCTAATTGAATAAATATAATTAACATACCTAGTACCTACTTTAGATTCCAATTATAGTCCTGCATTAACAATAACTGATTTGATAGAAGCAGCTATGAAAAATCCATCACAACGAGTTGAAAAAATAAATCAACTAAAATCTCAGATAGACTTAATTGTTGAAGAAGGTAGATGGGACCTAGATGATATATTTGAAAATTCTGACATTAGTAAAGCTGACACATTTGACTGTGTTGTTTATTACTTAGCAGGGTAGTATATAATATTATTTATTGTTAATCTGTAATATTACTTTTAGACTACCAGTATAATGTATAGCATAATACAGTAGAATAGGTATACAGTACAGTATAACGTATAGCCAAAGTATAATATACAATTTATAATTTATATTTATCTATTTGATTAGATATTTGGCCAGACGGATTGCAAAGAAAACAGATTGCCCTGACTGCTTAGCTGGGATTAAGAACTTTGATGAAGTTACATTAAATTATGCTGAATTAGTGAATCTAAAATCTCGAGGCTATTTAACTCACCCAGACAGTAATTTTTATGTACTACTTAGGAGAATTGAGAGTTCATTCATGAAACATGCAAGTAGTGCCTCTGTGTTCGATGATACTGTAGAGGACTTCATATCAAACAATTATATAATACCATTTCCTTGTAATGTCCATAAAGAAGAGGTCATATTGGATATACT